TCTGTAAGCTTCTTAATCAACACTTGGCAGACTCCAGGCAGTGGCTGGCAGGTACACTGGGCACTCTTTGATTATCTTCTTGCTAAGGAAGTGAAACTTCAATCAGTTCATCAGAAGAGAAATGCCACCTCATGCTATTTGGGATATCTATCAGAGGCCTCCAAGCTCCCCATTTTATGATTTATTCTGATGAATTATCTTTATGATTAAACAGTATGCTCCATCAGAAATAATAACAGCTATTCTTTGTGCCAACCACGCGAAGTGATGGATCTCAAATTGACCATTTTAACATGAACAGCATTTTCAAACTCACCTTTGGGCAACAAATTAAAAATGGCCTGAATTTCAGAGACCCAGAGCACTTACAATTTATGAAGTTAAGTGACACTTATGAATACTCAGAAGATTTTCAGAAACCCTTGTTCAAAGCATTTTGTATGAAATACTCTTTTACAATAGGAAAAAATAGTGAAAATTTGGGTTTGTATTTATATTGATATTCCCTTTTATTTCAAGCTCATGAATTATATTTTTAGATATTGATAACTTTGCAAAAATAAAGCTAATAATTACTAATGAGTTACATAAAATTTCCATTTTTTTACTTTATTTTTATTACGGATCTTTAGGAAAATATGCATACGATATGAGATGCATCATCTAATTCACACTGTAGATCATCTAACTGCTATGACAATTACAGGGGGTATTTATACATATGAATTGATTTGTCCATAATTTCTCTTGCACAAACCTACAGAACAGGAGTATGGATATCCCAGTAAACCATTTCTTCTGAGGTGAATGCAGACCCACTAGATTTGCTTTCACATTCAGTGTTTTTATGAGCTGTTCTCCAGTATGGTTTTATTTTACAGAGAAATAATCAGTTATTTACTTTCTACAGTCTGCAGTGATACAGTATTACTAGAAAGATCGAGTGCAAAAGAACCAAAAGACAAAATCCTCTGAAGGGTATTTATTTTAATTTATTAAGTTTGGAAAAAAATTAACTGGAAATATGTATTAGGGACTAGCAAGGAATGCACTGAAGCATGCAGTGCAGCAAAAGGGTGGGTTCATTTATGTGATTTTTCAAGAAAACAAAGCAGATAAATGATGAAATCATGAAAGTATATTATTAAGAGAAAAATATAGATGTAGAAAAGAAATGGAAGGACTTTATCTAGGCTAGTTGCTGAAGTTAAATTTCTTCATTTACCCATTATCATATAAGACAAAGACATTCCTGATTTTGTTGTTTGCTCTGTTAAAATTAGTACAGATGTTCCAGCTTGGAATGGCATTAATATTTAAAGCCTCTGTCTTTGTAGTTACCAATATGTTGCATGAAAGGTGTCAGATCACTCTTCTGCCAAACATGAAAAGCAATACCCCAAACAAGATGACTGCATTGCTTCTGAGTTCTAATTCCCTGTACTTTGGCTGACAGGTTTTTCAGGTGTCTGAGCAGAGGTGAAGAGCCCATGTAGTTCACAGTGACTGCCAATGGGAAGAGGCTGTAAAGATCCCATTGAGGCTCCTGGCCTTAGATGCCTCTGTCATCCCACTCAGATGTGCTGTGAGGAGGTGATTGCTTGAGCTTTCTTAGGATCACAGGATTGTAGGATGATTTGTGTTAGTTGGGTCCTCAGGAGCCTTTAGTCCAACTCTGCTCAAAGCAGGGTGAGCAGTGAGGCTGGACCAGGATCCTGCTGCTGGAGGCATTTTTCGGCCAGCTCTGGGAAGGCAGTTCATCATATCAAAGACGTTAGTCCATGGGGAGCTGTGAATACCCGTGGGGTCTAACAATTGCAACACTTCTCCACTTGTCTTTGAACTCACTCTTGCTATTGCTTTTTATTTACTTTTGATTTAATTTTGCTATTTAAAAGTTTTGTGTCTGCCATGCAAACATCTGCTGCCTTCCCTTTAACTGTATGTTATAGTAACTACAGCTCTTGGGCAAAAGAATCTGAAGGATCAAACCTGTTATTAAAACTAATTTATTTTCCTGAAAAGCCTTTGTTCTGTAGAAACTGCTTGAGGAAAAAATCTGAAACACTTTTTCTTGCAGGCACTCTCTCACTCTTGTTCACAAAAACTCTTGAAGGCAGAATACTTCCGTCTAGGTAGATGAGTGGGGGTAAAAGATGAAGTATTCTTCTCATCCTGAATTTGTTATGGCAAGAGAATGTGTGCAGAAGGGGTTCATACAGCAGAGCTGTTGCCCTTGCTCCAAGCTGGCAAGCTCAAATCTGATCATGCTTTGGAAGAACCTACCCAGAGCAGGCTGCAGGATGGCTGTCCAAGCTGAGCCTGGGATCAAATTCAAATTTTAAAAGATTACAGATAGTCTATTTAAATAACAATGGTAAAGAAAATCAATGCAGAATTTCAACTTTCCTTTCAGATTTTTTATTTGCTTTTATCCTATCCAATTTGCACTCCAAATTGGTTCTCCTTACATACTTATTTTTTACAGCAAAATCTAGTGTTGTGCTGTGTATTTCACAGCTCTAGTTCTTCAGAACTTGGCTGACCCCATGACTTGGAGGGCCTGCTGTCTTTCTGTAAAATCATGCTCTGTTTCTGAATGAGCAGGCAAACTCCAGAAGTCTGCCATACATCCTGGAGTCCTTCATTTACACCTAATGTTTCAGCTCAAAAAGACTTTTAGACACATTAAGCACAAGCTTAGTGTGAAATGGGTGTTTAACAGCCTTGTGAAACTGGGAAAAAGTCTTTTGGCTTCAGTATAGTTGAGGTTTCACCCTGAGAAAAAAACCTGTACATAGGATATTGTAAATCACATTGCACCTTCTGTCAGTCCCCCTCTCATCTTGTGAAACAAGTGTTTACAACTGCTTCATTGGAGCTGATGGAATGCAGAGAGGCATTCCAGCTGGACTGAAAATAATACTGCCAAAGTAGGGGGAAAAGGACTATCTGCTTTAAAAATCAGGACCCTAACTGCTCATATTCTGACCTAAGAATGCCATTGTTTTAAGGTGAGAAAACAGCTTCAAAACTCCAGGACAAAAGAGAACATCTTCTGCTGATCTGCTTAATGTAGGATGAGTTGACCTTGAAGCTTTTAGAACAAGAAAATAAAATATAAGTCAATAATTCAGTCACTAAATTAGCAAAACAGCTGCACCATTCTGGCAATGTCATAGGTTACATCAATAAAGTACTTTCACCTTTATCTCCCAGAAATCAGACGGTGATCTGTCTCATTATTGCAATGTTAAAGCTATAAAAGAAAGAGTGAAACCAATATTATACCTTCATAGCTCAGTAAAAATGCCACAAAGGCTATTTTCTGTAATGAGTTATTATACATCATCTAGGCACAGTGGGCAAAACCCATAACTAATGAGGCTAAATCAAGCAAACTTTCACTACAAGGACCCTACAGTGATATTCAAAATATAACTTTGGTGCCTGATGTGCAATTGAGGTGCATTGATCCACTAAAGTAACAGAAAAAAATCCTGCTTACCCTCTTAGCACCCATCTATCCAATAGTCTGCACACCTGCAAGATGTGCCTACACACCAGCAGCATGCAAACAAGAGTGGAAGCACACATGAAGACATAACTCAGTGTAATGGCTCCTGTGGCATTGGTAGTTCATGTCAGACTGGATCATAGCACAAGTTTACCTCTGCCAGAGACCCACAAGTCATTTTTTCTCCAAACGCACATATTCCAGCAAAAATCTTTATTTAGGTCCCTGCAGATCTCATACCTAACATTTTAGAGATGGTCCTGTTGGTCAAAGAGTATAAGACCACTTTCATTCATTCACTGCTTTTTATTCTACAGATTAGAGCTTTGCTATAAGTAACTAATGGATGCTGAAGTCATCTAGTATGTTTGGTTCTTGAAGACTTTCTGAAGTCAGGACTGGAGTTGTAAATTACTGCATTGCCATCCATAATGCAAGGACTGCAAACACTCGTCTAAAATGCCTTTCTGTTCATTAAAGGTGCTTCTCTAAATGCCAAAAATAGTGAACCCCCAAACTGCCAGTCAGAAGTAAGTGTGACCAGACTACATTAGTCACTGCAGTAAGCACATTACAAAGTGATGCCACGGTAATCAGGTGGTAATATGGTACATTAGACTCGGCATCATGGCCAGAAGAGGCTCACATGGTAATTGTAATCTAGCATGATGTTATGGCTGGGAATAATGTTGTTTACAAAATCTCCAGTGAAAGAGTTGTTTTCACAAAGTGTACTGAGATTCTGCTGTTAAATCATTAGAAAAGCATGACTGAGTTTTCATTTCATTTCATGTCCTCTCTCATTTACATCTGATTTTCTGAAGAAACTACAGTGGCATTATCTAGTATGGGGTTTTTTTCCTAAAATTAGTGAACTGGATCCTTGTTTTGAAAAGATTTTTTTTCCCCACAAAAGATATTTTTATGGAATTCCTTACTTTATTGAAAGTTTGTTTGCTTCCAGTCATGACAGTTTCTCACAGCATAAAATCAGTGTCAGGATTTCTATTTAACTACCACTTTTCTATGTTGAATATTTTTATAGACTGTCTGATTAGTTTTATCCAAATGTAGGATAAAGATGAGCTTTACCATACTCGACACCCCCATCAATCACAAAGAATCATCCCGCTTGCAGATATTTTTCCCATATGATGTTTACGTTATCCTAAAGGTTCTAAGCCACACTTCAGATTAGGAATTCTCTTCCTATTAGTTATTTTAATTCACATAACTTAAAACTTAAATGGACCAGGTAAGAATTAACATATGAAATTGCTAACTTTTGAAAAACCTTGGCCAGTGAGGGTTGCTTGCTATCAGTAAACCAAGGCACTGAAACTGCATCCCGAAAATGCTGTGCTTATAAATGTATTTAATTCCAGTTAGTTGAGTCTTTATTAATTTTTCAGCTGTGAATATTAATGATCCATAATCTAACCTTAATTAAATGCTTTTTGTTTGATTTGATTTACTGTTTTAGCTCCAGAAGTGTTCCAGGCTTTTATGGATGGAGGTCCAGGATACTCGTACCCAGTAGACTGGTGGTCACTAGGAATTACAGCATATGAGTTACTGAGGGGTTGGGTAAGAATGATTGGGTTTGTTGTTATTTAACAGAAGTCTCAAGTTTGCAGTGCCTCTGAATGCACTTTTCATGATAAAATTTGAGTGTACAAGGCTCGGGTCAGGAATGCTGTCCTGGTTCTACACCAGCTGAAAACATTCTTGGGAAAGTTTCACCTCACCCTCAAATACATTATGAAAGTTTGCCTCGGTTTTGGCTAAGGAAAGGCCTAATGTTTAATGGTTCTCCACAGTGCTGAATTGCAAACAATGGTATTTTTTTCCAAATAGAAGTAGAATTGCTTCAGAAGCTATTATATCTTTGATTCTCTTGGCTAATACTATAAAAGATCTAATGTAATAGCTTAAGATGCTTGGCCCAACTATAGAAAATGCTTATCTGCCAGTGCATTTGTTTCTTATCTAATCAATTATGTGAATAAGCTTAATGAAAAATCTTCCTGAGCATGGTCAAATATCACAGAAGATAATGGAAAATTCTTTTCCATTTTGATTCAAAAGATTGCAGTTTGTTGTGTAAATATTTACTATTCCCTATGGAAAACAGTTATTTCTATACCATTTCAGGATGATAACATAGCTAAAGTAGCAATTTGGGGGGATGAAGGGAGGGAATTACTTTTAACTCCTGTTTTGTAAAAGGGATTTTATTGCATTGCAGTATGCTGTTTTAAAGGAAGAAATATTTTTTTTCATATGACACTAACACAGTTCTGCTACCTTGTCCTGCCAAACAATCCACCCCACAAAGATCTCACAATTTTGTAGAGGATGACAGATAAAAGAAAACAGAAATAAAGAATTATTATTTCCACTTTTAGATGGAAAAATAAATTTCAGTGTTGGCATATTTTACTTCACAAGCTACATTTTTCAAAGGCCTAGAACTCAGCCAGTCTATTTTGTATTTCCACAGAAATGGTAAAAGCCATGCTCCCTTGCAAAGACTGTTTCTGCTGTCAGAGCACAGGAGCATTAAAAACCTTTCTTGAAAAAAAAACAACAAAGCAACAATTATTAGCAATTTTTCTCGACCATCCTCCTCAAAAGTTAGGGAGTTTTTAAGCTGACATTCTTCTCAGAATGGAGAAGTTAAAATCTGGCAGTGGTAAGCATAATTCATCCTCAACCCTAGTCACAGACAGTAGTACTAGCTGCACATACAGTAAATTAAGAGAGCATCCTGATGGTTTTAAATCAACCCTTTTACCAGTGAGTGTCTCCAACAAAGAAGCGCAGTGAATGATTGTGTAAGGAAGGCTGAATTCCCAAGACTAATCACAAAAGATCACTTTAATGTGACAAATTCACTTCAATAAATGAAAAATTATATAGGCTGAAATACATTTGCCAAGATCCATACAGTCTTTTCTGAATAAATCAATCTGGCTATAGACAAAGCAAAATTGAGACTAGATCAATTTTTTTTTCTTTTTTTTTAATAAAAACATTACCATCTGTACCTGTTCCAGTCAACCAAGCCAGCTGCTTGTTTCCTCTGGAAGAGCAGCTCTTGCCTACCGAGCAAGACAGAGTGTGGCCTGGCAGCCCACAGCTCTGTACGGACTAGGAAAAGGGCTAATTTTTCCTGAATTGTATTTCTAAATTTTTCTAGTCTAGACAAGGCCTAAACTGACAGAATTGATGACAAGAGAAGTAGCAGAGGGTTTAGGAAATGTGCTTAACCTGAGGCACGTTGCTGTGTGCAACAGGACTTTCTGCAGTTGGAGTGTGGTGCATCCTAGTGCATGGGGAGGGTGGGAGGTAAAGAAGGAAGGTGCATTGGAAATGAGAAGCATCACAAATTTCATTTTCCACCTCTGAGCTGTGCATAGTGTATGACACTGACAGCCTGCATTCAAGAGACATTAAGTAAAAATGAGTTGTTTTTCATTGAGCTAAATTTTTGTTTTTATTTGCCTCTGCTGCTGTAAGAGCCCTCAGGGGAGGCTCAGGGTGTTCAAGGCATTCCAGCCATTCTCATACCTGGTTCCCTACTGCTGGGCAGCCAAAATAATGCAGTGCTGGAAATGGGGCTGCAGCTACAGGAGCAGGTTGCATCCAGTACAGAGCTGTCTGGACCATTTTTTGGTTACCCATAGTAGTGCTAGCATTTCTCCATAAGTTGTAGGTGCATTTTTCTCCTTACCCAGTTGCTAATAAAAGACCTAGCAAGAAAACCAAATTAAATTAATAAAGCTTTGCATCAAACATTGATCTTTTCTCCAAGTCCAAGGAATTAAATTCTATAATGCAAACAGTGAGACATCAGTCTGTTCCTGAGCTATAGACAAATGCTAAAATATTGCAATAACTATATATACCATACATTCAATAGAGACAAAGTGGAGGAATGAGGTCGGAGGTAGGACTCACAGACTCTAACTTTCACTGCAATGTGAACAGTTTACAACAAACTTTGGTAAAACATCATGAACAAAAGAAAACCAGATATTTTTTCTCTTTCACAAAATAGAACAGAAGGGATATGACCTTCAAGTGGAGTGAATAGGTGAAAAGTATGGGAGATAAAGGTGAGAAGGACCTCAAAAGACCGAACTTATAATGGCCATTTACAGTTCAAATTAAATAATAACAATATTTAAAATCTCTTCAAAGCTCAAAAAATCAAGACTGCAGAATGCTAATAATATTTAAAATAAAGTAAATTTTAGGGATTCTTCTGTGAGGAAAAAGGCCTGGGCAGAAACATCCTTGACACAAAAACTTTCCATGAGTCATAATTCCTTATAGTTGCTATTTTTAGAGTTAATCACCATTTTCAACAATTGCTGTGCATTCTGGCTCAGTGATCCTGTTGGTCTCATTGTTATGTCAAGTCTAAGTCAGCAGTAGGTTGCTTCTGTATGACAGACAGAATGTTAACCTTTCATTTTTAGTAACTGTTTTATGGAAACATTACCACAGGTAGGGAAAAGCACGACAGACTATTTCAAATGACATGATTCAAGAAAATTGTGTATTTAGAGCAGGCCTTTAGGTTCTGTTGAATTCATATGGACCTGATAAATGACAACAGGCAAACAATGTGAATATAAGCAAAGAAATGTAAGCAATCCTTGAATTTATTTTTAGAACATACCAGTGCCTTGGAATGGACTTGGTTTTATACATATGTTCAAAGTTAAATATGTGCATGAGTCTTCCCAAAATATGTCCTGGGTCTTTATGAAGAGTGGCTCCAACTCCTTAAAGATTAGATAACTAACATCTAGAAATATTCCTAAATTATAATCTTCTATAAGTACATGCTAACATAAATCAACGAATGACTCAGTTCTTAGTCAAGGTAATGAGCATCTGCCCTTTGCTGTTGAGGATATTGGATTAGAATGTAACTCTATGTTGTTTATGAATTATCATGCATCAGTTTGCACACTGCTGCTATGATGGCATTTAGCTGCAGATCTCATATCATATATTTATCACCTGCTGGGTACAACTTAATTCACAAACAAACCACTGTCTGTCCTTGTTTACAAAAATACATCAAGTATAATTATAACAACTTGCTTTACAAATACAAGTATGTACATAGAAAATAACAAGAATATAAATTTATATATAGTATTTTTATTTCCAAATGCTGTATTTAATAAAAGATAAATCACAGAAACTTCATGAACAAAGCACAGCAAAGCCCAGGGCTTTTTTTCACCTAAAGAAGAGTTTAGGCCCTGCAAACATATTACATGTAATGAGTTAATTTTGGATTTTAAAAAAGGGGCAAAGGAGAAGGATTGGGATTTGGAGCCTTCTTTTTTACTGTGGTTCTTACACAGACTTTTGTAAGCATTTTCTGGCTTCTCAATATACTACTCAGTAAAAAATATTAAATAATTCACATTTCACATAGAATGCCCCAGGAATGAAATTGTTCATCCACCTCATTTGAACAGATACTTTCTTTTATGAGAGAAAACCTTGCAGAGGAAATGCATCTATGAGTAATTACATTCATTATGACCAAAGAAAAACACACATAAAGAAGGATTAGCCTCGAAATTGTTATAAGGTGTTTTTGTGGGTTTGATATTTCCAACTTAATGCTAAGCTCAGGAAAATGTGAACTGTCTACGCTCTTTTATCCATTCTCATTGACTTGATATTGATTTAACTTTATCTCAGAGGCCCTATGAAATTCATTCAGCCACCCCCATTGATGAGATACTCAACATGTTCAAGATAGAAAGAGTTCACTACTCATCTGCATGGTGCAAGGGCATGATAGCACTACTGAAAAAGGTAAGAAAGCACAAACACATTCTTTCCTCTCTTCTCTTCCAGAAGCCCCTCCAACAGTGCAAAGGTATCTGGCAAGCACTCACATTAGGCAATCAAAATTTCAAGGATAAGAGAGCAAGACTTATTTCTAGGCTGTTCTGAATGTGACTCGTACAGTATTTTCTCTTCAGAAACTGCATTATTCTTAGGCTTAGACTCAGCCTTTTCATGGCTTCAAAGAAATAAAAATTTAATATATATATTTTTTTTATTTTAAAACTTATTCACTAGCGATAGCAAAACTTTGAGGATCAATAATTCCTGCTCTGTGCCCTGGCCCCATTCCCTCCAGTCATGGTTGTACAAGTGGAAGAGGGAAGGAAGAACCACTCTGCCCTCTGAACTTCTGCTGCAGTTTCCAGACAGGGAGACTCGAAACTAAAATGGTTGTATCTCTTGCTGTCCCATGTTGCTATAGTTGCAACAACAAAAGTCGATCTACTTTGCTGTAAATGTCACTAAGCTACAAGACAGAGCTCTTTCTGAATGCATCATGACCCCGGAAATCGTTTTTTTCCTAAAATCCCAGGTTTTTATTTGTTTTAATTGTCTGGCCACGTTGCAAGGATCATCTGTCTCTTTTAGGTATTTCAGATCATCAGTGTTGATACTTGAACAGGAAACATTGGTGAATGCGTGAATAGAGTAACAGAAGATCAATGTCTTTTGCAGCAATGAGCAATTTAGTTTTGGTAGATAGTGAGATGGATAATTTTAATTGCTGCCAGGATGATCAGTGTAACTGTATCTTCCAGTAAATAAAAGACAAAATACAAATTGTTGGATGGCATTGAACTGTGATGTTTCATTTTGCTTGGACTCTTATGCATCTGTAAACAGACTTTTGTTGCTAATACATTTACAAACTTCATGCCTGCAACAGCCATCTGTTGGCAATTAAATTATACTCATATCTTATGAGTTATTACTTTTATTTTTTTTAATTGGAACTTCTATGATCTGTTAGAAGATTCCCTAGCCATTTTCTTACTCAAAAATACATATCATACAATATATGGCATCCAGTCCCTTAGAAAATGCCTTGTGCTTGATCACAGCTCCTCACTAAGGACCCAGAGTGCCGTCTTTCAAGCCTTGCAGACATCCAAAACTCTCCATACCTAGCTGATGTCAACTGGGATGCTGTTCTAGAGAAAACTGTGACTCCAGGCTTTGTTCCTAATGTAAGTTGATATTCTAGGTGATCAGCGTTTGCAAATTACAGCTTTAATTATCACTGCCATTTTACTTGCTTATGCTTGTATTTATTACTCTTCAGTGATTTATTTTGGATTCTACTTTCATTTACTCAGTCACAGCTAAGGGAAAATTTGTCCCATTTCAATAGATCACAACAAGAACTAATTACCTTGGTCTGCTTTTTGTTCCCTTTCAAATAAAAAAATACTTTTTCCAGACTTTGCATTTCAGTGTTAGAGCAAATGACTGTCAGAGTTAACTCTGAGACAAAGAATACCAAGAAGACTGTTGTGACTGTGAAAGTTAGGCATTTGGATAACATTTGGAAAACTTTTTAACATCCCAGTATGCTACTACTTTTTCACTTAAAAATACTGTTCCAAAAGGCTGACCTATTTCCTTTGTGACAGTTTCTTACAATAAAACATTCAGATTCTGTGAGGGAAGCTGGTGGTTTCTTTTTCACTGTGGTTCCACTTTGTTCCTGTTTTCTGGGTATTTCCATTTTGATCATTTGCAAATTAAGTGAATTTGAGGGCCATGAATAAAAAGAAATTACTCTGATGTTAACATGCTTCTCCACTTTTGTTCAGTCATACTACACTATAATTCTTCTCCAAACAATACATTTGTAGCACACTAAGGTTTTTTTCTGTTCTTTTTTTATGCAACTGCAAGTAAAGATAAGGAAGGGGGAATAGCTAGATGCTGTCTTCATCCAGGTAAACATTAAAGCTCATGCTAAACATGATGTGGACACAATTCAGCCATTCAGAAGATGAGGGCAAGAGGGCATTGCCTAATGGAGCGAAGATAGCCAAGTGGGTTGCCAAGACAGTGCTGGCAGTGTTTACTGTGCTTCTTAGCACCTGACCAGAGCCTTCCCTAGAAGCAGCATCCTGCAGGAGAAGAAAGCTGTGAGTGGGCAAGCAGGGCCTGCCTGCTTGTGTAAGGAAGGCTGAATTCCCAAGACTAATCATAAAAGATCACTTTAACGTGACAAATTCACTTCAATAAATGAAAAATTATATAGACTGAAATACATTTGCCAAGACCCATACAGTCTTTTCTGAATAAGTCAATCTGGCTATAGACAAAGCAAAATTGAGACTAAATCAATTTTTTTTCTTTTTTTTTTTGTAAAAACATTGCCATCTGTACCTGTTTCAGTCAACCAAACCTCAGGGAACTGGGGGAAAGACCAGAATACAGCAGGCAACTAGTACAACAGATGAAGAATAAGGCAGGCCCCTCTTATAGGCACTCCAGAAACATGTTCACCAGTAGGGGAATTCCTTCCTTTCACTTTAAAGCTCAATGCTTTTGCAAGCTAGTGCAGTCAACACCATTCTCTTGGTGGTGTGGATCTACAAGATGAATGGGGACTGCCTTTTTTCTTTCCCTTTTTTCAAGTTAGAGCTGCTCTCTGAGATATCAGAGGTATGGACTGCCTCCTCCTCTGGCAAAACTCAACAAATTATTTAGACCTCCTGCTCCTATCTAAAAGTTTATGTGGGATATTTCACAACACTGTATTTTAAAAGAGGGATCCAATTCCCTGTACCCAAAGGTACAAAATACGTGGGGATCCAAGGGAGTCCCAGACTCTACAAAACCCAGTCATGCATAGGCACACATCTTAGGACTTTGAGTGAGAGGACTTAAACTTGCTTCAGCAAAACTGGCTAGTGAAACCTGCCTATGACCAGTCTGTTCTCTGCTCCTGTTACTGTTCCAGTGTTTTCCTTTCCCCAGACATCTCCTCCCTCTTTTCCTTGCTCTCATTCAAGCATTAATTCATAGGATCACATCCTCCTCCTTAACTCTGGCCCTAAGGATCAGACTCAAGGCAGCTTTGGTCCAGGAGTGTACAGCCAGCTAATGTGATGTGTGCCACCCTGCTCAGCCTGACTCCTGAGCAGTGAGGTACAGCAGCTGGGCTGCAGTAACTACCTTACAAAGGGACTGTAAATTTTCCACATCCAGCTGGCTCACACCCAGCCTGCCCAACACTGAGTCACGAGAAGCGTGTGATGGATGGTCTGCACCTGGCCACAGACCCCACCTCCTTACTTCTCAGTTCTCATGTGGCTTGTTCCTTCTTTACACCTGGATTTAGGTTGTTTTGAGAGTATCTTATTTCTGAGAGAGTATAGATAAGTTTTCCGATTTCTTAACCACAGTGAAAAAAGTGAATTTAAATGTCATTTCAGAAAAAATTGTGCAACCCATGTGTGTGGTACTCCTCTGTTAGTACAGTGACCTGTCTCTATGGCTGATGTTGACAATGGTCCATGATGGAGTCTGAGAGAAGAGGAAATCCTCTTCAAATACTTTCAACTGTCTACCATTAGACATGTGTCTGAAGACAGCTATTCTTTTCTCATTTAGATTCAACTTATTTATGTTTTGGCAGGGATATACAAAACTGACAGAAAATCTGTAATATTTGAGGTGAAATAATATTCTACACTTAAAAGGAAATAGGAGTAAAATGTTACATTTATCTATCCAGATTAATCTGAAAGTCCCATTACAAGCTCTACCAGACACTTCTGTACACTCTGATATTGCTTGTTCCACCTGGTCAGTCAGGTGTGTCAGGAAAAACAGTGAGGTAAGAATCAAAGTGTCTTTTCTAGCACAGCATTTCTTGTTATCACAAACTTTACTGTTTCATGAGACCAAGTTTGGCCACACATTTTCCAGGAACTTTTTCTCTGTTGCACTAGCCAAACTTTCACTTATTAATTGAGGCCACTCAACAAAATATTTCTTGGCTTTGGTGAGAAGCTGAATTGGGGCCAACATGTGCTGTGATCTGGGAAGAGTTTTGAAACTAGCAAGTTTTATAAATTTTGACAGCTTGCCCTTAGTGTCAGGAGTTTGCCTCCTCCAGACAAGAGGGCACACAGGAGGCCTGTGAGAGCAGTATCACATCATTTAATTTCTTCCTGTGTAGTTTGATTCCATAAACATATCTCTCACTTGAGTAAGATATGTGTTTCTTTATGGTTTAGTTAGTTTCTTCAATTCAGCTTGAAATCATAAATTGTTAGAAGTTTATTTAAATATAATTTGCTTTTATTTTTAAAGCTTCAGGATTAAAGTGATGTACTTTTTAAGTGCTAAAAAAATCTTAAAATTATACATGCTCAGAAAACTGAGCACTGAGAACTGATACTGATGAAACCTAAAGAATTACTTATTCATTTATTGCTAAATATAAATAAGCTATAAACCTCCATTAATAAAAACAAAATACATTTTACTAAAGACAGCTGGATAATATGCAGGGAAAGGCATCCATCAGATATCTCAGTATTATACTTTGAGTACACAGAATTTGCTAGAAATAAAAATGATGGAGCGATTTCTAAATTAAATGTTTCATTGTAGCACACCACAAGTTATACAAGTAGTTTCTGATGTGACTTTACTTCTTAGTGTCTTTGGTTACTAAAAATATCTGTCATTTATAGATGACTTATTTTAGGTCTTCCACCTTGACAGTGACAATGGTGTGATTGAACTCTCAGAAGTCTCAGAGGAAAACAGGCTGCTTTTAACATTTTCCACCACACAACTCAAATTGTTTGCAAATTTTTTGTAAGTGCTTTGAGAGAATGAGGCAAAGAAAGGAACTCAAGTTACTCTGATTACAGGAGTAGCAAAACACTGGTCCAGTAAATAGGACACCAAGTTGTGATGTTTGAAAAAGGTATTTGGTTCAGCTGAACCATAGATATTCTGGTCATAGCATGCTGGCTCTTATCCCTAAATAGGAGAGAAAGAGTTCACCACAAATGGTGCCACAAGATGACTTTACTGCACTAATGGGTAGAATTAAAAAACAAAACACAAAACCAAACAAACAACCCAAACAAAGAAAACAACAACAAACACAAAAAAACCCAACTCTAAGCATAAATTATGTTCCTGTAAACTTTTATGTTAAAAAGATTTAAAAGAATCAAGAACTTGAAAAGAACTAAGCAAGAATCTGAGAAGAATCAAGGAAGAAAATGACCATATAGAAATGGTTTATCCAATCACTCTGCTTAAAAAAGGACTTCCTGATATAACAAAGAATCTTAAGGTTTGTTTCAAGCATCACATATTAACAACATTTTTTTTTTATGGAGAATCCAGAATATTTAAGTAATGTGTGTAAAGGGTAAGAAAATGCATAATAGATTGGGTAGAATAGAAAAAGCATAATAGAATGAAGCACATGATTGGGAAAAACCAACAAGGACTCATCAAGGACAAATTGTACTTGACAAATGACAATGACTATGTAACCTGCTCAGTTGAGCTGCGGCAAGTGGTGGTCACTGTCTACCTGGATTTCTCCAAGGCCTTTGATACGGTTTCCTCCTGGAGAAACCAGTGTGTTATGGCATATACAAGCAGTCCACCAGTGGGTGGGGAACTGACTGACAGGCTGCACTCAGAGAGAAGTGGCAAAAAGCTCCTTCTCCAACTGGAGGCCTGTCATGTGTGGGGCCCCCCAGGAATCGATACTGGGACCAACATTGTTTAATATCTTAATAAGGGATCTGGATAATGGGATCAAGTGTACCCTGAGGAATTTTACTGATGATGTCAGAGTGGGAAAGTGGATGCTTTTGGAAGAGCCACCATGCAGGAAGACCCGTGCTAGGGTGGGCTAAGAACCTTATGAAGTTCAACAAGAACAAGTGTCAGGTCTTGCACTTGGGAAAACACAGTCCAGGGGTGTAGCACAGGGTGGGATCTACCCAGCTGGGGAGCAGCTCTGTGGCAAAGGACCTGGAGGTCCAGGTGGACAGCAAGCTCAGTATGAGTGAACAGGGTTCTTCTGCTGCTGTGGCGAAGAAAGTCAACGGGATGTTGAGTTGCATCAACAAGGGCACCACCAGCAGACATAAAGAAGTTATTATCCCACTCTGCTCAGCACTTGTCAGGCCACAACTAACAAGTCCCCACTATGCAAAAAAGATGTGGACAGGCTGGAGAGGGTCTAGAGAAGGGCCACAGAGATGATCAGATTGGGAAGCAGGCTATAACAGGAAAGGCTGAGAGAACTAGGTTTGTTGAGGTTTGAGAAAAGAGTGCTTAGGGGAGACCTTTTCACCATGTCCCAGTATTTAAAGGGTGACTACAAAGAAGACAGAGACTGACTCCCTTTTTACAGGGAGTTATATGGAAAAGACAAGGGGTATTGGGTACAAGCTAATCCTGGAGAGATTCTGACTAGATACAAGAAGAAAGTTTTTCATAATGACCACAGTCTGCCATTGTAATAGTATCCCCTTAAAAATGGTGTTTTCCCTAAAATTGGACACTTTTAAGATTCAGCTGGACAGGTTGCTGTGCCATCTTGTCCAGACCATGGACCGTGGTTTTGCCCAGAAAGGTTTGATCAGATGATCCTTGACATCCCTTCTGACCTGGTATTCTACGATTCTGTGAACCATTTTTTTTATATAAATGCTACTAACTAAAAAAAGACCTACTCCTTCCTCTGCACTCGTGGACAGGATCTAGGCAACTGAATCCACTGTAATACTTCAGAAAATCAGATTTCAACAAGTGAAGTGTTAGAGATGCTCCCCCTCCCTCCTGCACTATTACAGATGCCATTTATGTTCTACAGCACTAACTGATATTCTGATGAAGACCCTGGGCCAAATTAATCTGTCTCACTGGGGTAACATAATTGTAGTCACTCTAGGAATATATCTGTATGTAAATAGGAAGAGGATCTAACTCTTTATACTTGTTTTACAATATTATTTTTATCTTACCTCCCTTATTTAAACTTCAAGCATCGCTCCAGGCCTGAAAAAGACAGTTTTCACTTTACAGATGTGGTCGGGAATCTGGTTCATTATCAATGCTATTAGCACTTGCCAAGCAAACTAAAAAAACACCATGATGCTTCAAAGAGTAACTTTGAATTCTTTTGTACCAGAAAGGAAGACTGAATTGTGATCCCACATTTGAACTTGAAGAAATGATTTTAGAGTCCAAGCCTCTCCATAAAAAGAAAAAGCGACTTGCCAAAAACAAATCCAAAGATGGAGCTAAGGAAACCTGCCCACTGGTAAGCTGGGTACTGTAACTGCAGTCTTTAATAGGCAAACTCAGTTAAGTTCAGTTTTATTACCTCTGAAAATTGACTGAAAATGACCTCTGAAAATGACTCTCTGTCATTTTACTTATATTACAAGCCATCTCCAAAGCAAAACAAAAAGCAACCATTTATTTTAGTCAAATAGTAACATGTTAAGTTATGATTATTTTTAAGATTATGATAGATGCTCATTTAAAGTATGAAAAAGTGTTGCCAGTTGCAAATGCACTTCACACACATCGACAAATAGATACAAGGAATATTTATTCACTGCTAGTACCAAAAATGAAAACTATGCAGTGAAAAGGCTTGTTATTTATAGATGTGTTAAAGCTGTCTCTTCCAGTCTTGACTAACGTGTCCCATGTAGAAAGACACATTGTATGAACAGTCTAAAGTACTGAGAAGATTAATAATAATTTCCAGACTTAAATTTTCGTTTCAGTGAGGTTTTATAAATTATGTTGGTACTCCCAATGATTTTGAATGCTCATGCAAGTTGTTCTTCCTAGAGCTATCAAATGTAAAAATTCTCAGGAATTCTTTGTGGGGAACTTCTTCCAAAAGAATGAAAGATTGATTGTGCTATCACAGCCCAATTTGATGAGTCTTTGAAATGCATCTTGATAGTATTCATTCATAAGCATTTTTGTTTAGCGTCGTTTCTGTTGTTGTGATTTTTGTCTATGATTCCCCATCTTTTTTAATCAACCTATTCATGCTGTTTTTTAAAGAATGTACACCTGCAGCAGTGCTTGGAAACCGTTAGAAAAGAATTCATCATATTCAACAGAGAGAAGTAAGTGCATTTTTAATGCCTCTTTAGCATTCAGTACTAAAATTAAATTGAGAACTATTTTTTTTTCTCCCAATGTAAGAGAAAGTGATTAATGATCACAGCAGCAGAGCCTAAAAGACTGGATTTCCATTGATTTCTTCCTCTTACAGTCTCTGGTGTGATGGTTTTGTAGTTCTTCCATCTCTGAAAGCAAGTAGAAGACCTTGTGATTAAAGTAAGTTGGAAATATACAGTAAATGTTACTGACACTCCCCAGAGAAACTGTCAGCAATTAAGCAAAGGAATACAATGTAAGGGGCTGCTTTTTCATATCTCAAACAAAACCAAGGGAAGTTGTTACTCATGAAATTTTAATGATATAAGCTGCAGTGTTCTGACTTGGAGACACTGTTCATACTTTCCCACCATACAAAAAGTGCAATTCAACATTGGCTGTTTCAACAAAGCTAAATATTAACACTGTATCAGAAATGAAGCAAGAACTTATGATTTAAGAGTCAGCCAGAATTGATACAAGTGTAAGTCTGATTACCAAGGATGTCAATAATCTTCCTGGTCAATTAATACACTGCATTTCTCATCGTTTACTGCATTTGAGTTGCAGCCATTATGGGCCCCTTTGTATTAACAGATGCAGGTCATAACAGGGGAGTGGTTTGTGTCTTTGGTCAAATTATTGTATTTCAGTCAAGTATATTATGTGGTTTTATTTGACCTAATTGTATATGCAAGCTTTTCTAATGGAGTTGTGAAATGTTAGAAATTAATTAAAAAGTTGTGACTATCTTACTTAGTGCTTACAATGCAGGTAATTAATGCTTCTGTAATTAAAATTAGGAAAGGGATTGTCAACTTTGCACAGTTCACACAATATCATGAGGGAAATGATGCCATGAAATCCCCTTTTTCCTGTTACAATCTGTGGGACATGTCTGTGCCCTATACTGACTGCTCACAGAAACTACAGTGAGGACTTACAAAGAAAAGGAAGGTCCAACAGATTTTTCATGTTATTTTGCATAATCTCTAACACAAGAAAGCCATATGTTTATATAAGAGCCATCAACAAGAGAAGCCAGACCAAGTCAGCCTACAGAAGGCTTTCAGAAAGGTCTTGGTGGACTCCTCTGAATCAGTTTTGGTATCAGAGAACTAGTGAATGCTTCAGCTTTGTAGCTTAACTCACAAAAATCAAAATTATTAGGATCATAATAACAAGATTAGAAAAAAAAATTACATTGATAAATCAATTTAATGAGTTTCCAAGAAGTTGTTCATACAACTAGTTCATTTCCAGATACTAGTCTCACACTGACTAGAGTCATATATCAAGAAAATCCAATATGCAGCAAATTTTGAAAACTAAAACACCAGATTTTGTAAAACACTTTCAAAATCTCAGTGGGTGTGTTCACTAGCACTGAACAATTTCTCTTGTCATAATTTTACTGTGCTCTTCTTAAACCTTTTTTACATAGGAAATTTTTTTCATTTGTTTCATATTGCACAACCGCAGTAACAACACAAGCTATAAAGAATTCCGACAAGCTGATGAGAGATCAAGGAGAAGTTTAGATGGAGTACAAGTAAAATGAAAACAGAAGATAAACCACATGCATTTCATCCAGAAAAACACATGTTTTGGTCATTACTTGATTAGCTTTGACAAGGTAAAGGAAAAATATTTGGTATAGACCTACAACAGATCCTGCATTGTCTAAAGCTAGATCACAATCATTTCTTGTTTAAATTGTATTAGAACTTAGGAAGGACATGGAGAGACTTCTGTAATACTTTTCAAAGACAAAAATGTTAATAAGGGGTGAAGTGGAGTTCAAATGTTTGAAGTGCAAAGTGAATTCAAGTTAATGGGAACAAAGAGCAATGACAGGCACAAATTTCATCATACCAGTGAGAAGAAGCTACAGAGTATACACCGGAGTAATTCATGGTGGGTTTCCTTAACCTTTATATGCCCTTGAGACTGTATGTAGAGGCTGAGGCTGTGCTTACATGGATTTCCAAAGCCATATAGCCCATCAAGTTCTTAGGAACAGCTGCAGATGCTGAAAGACATGAACTGTTCCTACAAACACAATACCTATTAGTATGTGATTGTGTCATTTGGTGAAGTGTCAGTCTCAGGCAGGGCTTTAAATCAGTCTCAGATTAAGGCAACCAGAAGTTTTAATACTCCTCCATGTTATTCTAAATAGAGCTGAATTGCTTTTGGTCCAACTGTTGGAAATATCTGCATATTTTCTTAGATATTCATTATATTCAGCTACAAAAATCTACATTTTGTTGTGATTTAAGCCTTCTGATCAGCTTGCTTCAGTGTCACAGAACACTACATAAATCCTAAAAAGGATAAATCAAAAAATTAGCATGTCTTTCAAGGGAAAAGATGAGACTCCTCAAACTAAAAGGATTCAAGGAAAAAATTGAAACATTTCTAACTGAGCAACATAAAGTCAGGTAGTAATATGTAATTAGGTTATGTTATGTTCATCCCAGTTCCACATCATCTTGCAATCCAATACTTGTAAAATATCTGCTATGAAAAGCAGAATCTGTTTTTATTGAATGCCTTGCTGATACTTCTAGGCTGTGCCTCTTTTCCACTATATGTCTTTCATCCTGCAACACACACTGCAAGTCTTGTAATATGTCATACTTACTCTCTTGCCAAGACGATCAGGAGACTATCAGAAACTCTTAGATTGCAGACAAGAGGGGGAGGAGGTAGAGAAAAGGCTTACTAGAATAAAAAGAATTTAGACATACTTGAAGAGACAGAATGAAGTAACTTAATAGTTTCACTTACTGATAATAAAGACAGAATATGAATTTTTCATTTTTCTATTGCTTTCTATTGCTATTTAAGAATAGCAGCATTCAGTAAACATACTTTCTTGGTAAGTCTTATGTTGACCCTGAATGAAATTTATTTGGTTGGACTATATTTTAACTATGTAGCTGATATCTATGATTTGGACAGTTATGAGATAGGATGAAAGATCTGAAGAATTAAAAAGAAGTAGGATGTTATATATAGTTACACACTGCAGAATAATAGAGCAAGTGTGTATTATTAAAATAGGACTTTGGAAAGGAGGACCAGGAACCATAATATTAGCTGTTTTTCTTATATATTGGATTTAACTGTGCAGGGCTTCCTGGACAAAATCATGTAGTCAGTGATTATCAGCCATGAATCACATGGCATCTTCTCTTGGTACTATTCAGAATTCACTGGGGAGATAAGGAGAAAAGGAGGGAAGACTAGCTATTCCCAGTTTCTCTGTAAAAAAGCCAGAAAACTACTCTATCAAACAAAGAAGTTCCCAGAAGATGAAACAAACCCATTTTCCTAAGATTTGCATAACTGCAAAGGACTGTCCTGTGTACTAAAACCGGCAGTTATAGAAGAGATGTCCAGGTGTAGATCTGTGCTTCAGTTTAGCTAGGCATATTTTCATTATTATCAATCCTATAAAACAGTTTGGGAAATTTGTGAAATCTGAAGGAAATATTGCTTTTATGTCTGAAAAATGGCCACTGAGTGTTCCAGAGTCTTTATGTGATCGTCATCAGCAGTTGTTCTGATGATACATCATTTCATCTGAAAATACTCCATGTAAAATGGTTAAACTCTCCTGAATTTTAAACCTGCATCTTGATTTGTGCAGGAAAACACTAAACATCTAGAATGAAATCCCTTACAGTGTAAGCAGATTTTTTCTTGACTGTATTTTTCCAGTGCTTCAGGTACCAGAGTGGCTGAAGTGTTCCTAGATGGAAGACTTTATTCTTACTAATGTCAATATTTCAGTGGATGTGAGCTACAAAGTAAAATACACGTGTGTGTGTGTGTGTGTGTGTGTGTTTTGATATGACATGGGGATATGGCATCTGTCCATAGTGACATTATCTCCCAGGACCTTTAAGAAAAAGGTACACACTATCTTGATCCAAAGTAAAATAACATAAGAAAATCCTTTTGTGGTACAGGAAATGTTTTCTATTCTTCTTAAAATGTCAGTGTAATATCTTAGTTTTGAACATATAAACTAAATAAACTGTGATACAGAAGTGGTCACACACTGTTTTTCTGGAAAATATGATCTGAAGTAGATCTGAAGGTATCAGTTTGGCTCCCTTTGCTGACAAATTAACTCTTTTTTGGTTTTAAATCTATTTCTGCAAATAGATGTTTCATTATATCTAGAAATGCAGCACCAAACATTCTGCAGTATCTGAATGTATATTCCTATAGACTTACCAGCAGTTTTTGAAGAACTTGATCTCATTTAGAAGATGTAGGCTACATTTTCAATTTTTTTTTACAGGGAAAAAGACTGTACAGATAAAGCCACACTGTTCACAGATTTATTAAAAAGCTGAGCACAGATTATTTTGCTGTTATCACTAAGCAGATCTTCACGTACAACTACATTTGTTTATGAATGTCCAAAACCGGAATTAAGCAGAAATTAAGAAATAGTATTTGCTTGTAGTAGAATATCTTTGTGGTTCTTGAGCCTCTTCTTCTCCTTGAAAGATGTCTTTAGGATTAAAGATGTGATAAAACTAAGAACGGAGAAGAAAACACAGGAAACATTTGCTTCTTAGGCAGAATAATCCTTCAGTTAGATGCTTCATAAACTTAATCAAAATTATCAGTCAGTTAAAGAAAATCAAACTTTTTACTGAGTAGAATATATATTTCACATATCCAAGGTACATGAAAACGGGTTACAATTCTGTCAAACTATTTTAATAAATGCAATGAACCGATTAGAAAAATATCCATGATTTTAACAATTCCAGTGAAAACTTTCAAAACACTGCTAATGATTTTGAAGTTGGAGTTTTTTTACTTAATACTAGTATGCTGCAATAGCATTGTTATGATATTCATCTGCCTAGTCCCTACTGATATGAACAGGCTTGCCTCTTTCCTAAGCTGTTGTTATACCTTATTCCTCTTCACAGTG